CTAATACCCTCAGAGGCCAGAAGAGTGTTGGATACCCTAGAACTGGAGTTTTGGATAATTGTGAGCTGCGATGTGGGTGCTCCAAACTAAACCTAGGTCCTCTTACAACAGTAGTATGTAAACACTCTTAACAGTAAGCCAACTCCCCATCCCCTAAAACTATTAAATTATTTATGACTCATCTTTTTCTTTCCTTGTTACTTATTAAGACTTCTAGTAACTTTGAATAAAAGATGTCACTGTTGGGGTGTGCGTGTGTGTGTGTGTGTTGCTGGAATTGAACCCAGAGCCTTGTGCATTCTGAGCAAATACTCTACCACTGCACCCAATATTCTTACTATTAATCTTACAGACAAAGCCATTCATAATTCACTATTTGGTTTGATACTTTCATAGGTTTCAGTAAATACTATACTATTTTAAAGTTTTCTTTGTGACTCTTACTCCTAAATAATGATTGAAAAGATTTTATGGGCTCACTGTTCTGCCAAAACACTTCTATGGAGATTTAAGTGGTCTGGCAGAACAGTTACCATTGTAGGATACAAAATCTCAAGAAAGAGGGTACTATCAAAAGATAATACAATGTTTCACACCTGTGTTACCCTTTGAACATTTGCCATTTTGTGGTGAAAATTAGCAACTGAATATTTCAGCAGGGTCCACTATCAAAAGGCAGAGAAAATCGAGCCTTCTGTCAGCATCGGCTAGGAAACAAAAATATATTTGAGAGACATCTTCTTAACAAGCAGAAGCAGATGGAGAACTGAACCTAATATTAATCTTTGTTTCTGATTTGACTTCTTTTTAAATCCTAAACACAGAATCTTAGAAAGGCAGGGTAAAACTCCCCAGAGGCATGTGATACTAAGAAGAGGATTTCATTTCAGGCTGGGTAGGAAGCAAGCTGAAGTAAGCACATAGCTCTAGGCTGCTGTGAACTTCTGTATGTTATAACAGCAATGGAAATTGGAGTGAAATAGAGCTTTACAAAAGGCTACCCACTTTGCTCTCATGTTAGACTAAGATATTGTCCATATTTTAAATGTTGATTAGATGACAATGAAAGCTCCCATGAAGGAAAATACCATTATATGGAGACTTCTTCGCTTTTGGTATATAATTTAGTATTCAAACAAAAAGTTTTGGGCATGCCAAAACACAAGGGTAAATGACTTTTAAATCATTCGAAGCATAAAACAGAAAATAGAAATACAGTCACAGATTATCTCCATATTGGATAAGAACTACAATCACTAGTTGATTAATGAAAGAAACAAAGGAGAAAATATATAAGAAATAGTAGAATTTTCCCAGATAATTGGAATCCATGAAAAAGGGATTGGCCAATTGTTTGAGGGGGCTGGAGAGAAGGCTCAGTGGTTAAGAGAATAAATTTCTCTTGCAGAGAATTCTGACTTTCTGACACATTTTTTTAAAAGCAAAGCACAAATGTTCAATATCATCCATTGTGCTTGCTTCACAATACAGTAAAATCGCATTCCCTCTTTTTCTGTTCCTTTAAAGAACTTGTGGAACATCAGAATAAATTTGAGTTGACCATGTATCCTCCTGACCTCCTCTCCCATATTTTCACTTTCAGTCAGTTATCATTTTAAATATTTTTTCAATTTATTATTTTAATTTTATGTGTATGCGTGTATTGCCTGTATGTAGGTAAGTACACCCATGTCATGCAATGCTTGCAGAGGACAGAAGAGGCTGTTGGATCCCCTGGAACTGGAGTTACAGACAGTCGTTAGCTACCATGTGGGTGCTGGGATTCGAACCTGGGTCTTCTGCAAGAACAATCATTGTTCTTGACTGCTGAGCCATCTCTCCAGCCCGCCGGTCAGTTAGAATTTTAATCATGTAACAGCAAACATTTCCTCTTTTACAAGCACTCATTCTTTTCATCTTGTCAGCTTCTAACACTTCGTTGAACCTGATCTAAATTTTATTAATAGTTAATTTGTATTTTATATCACTTTTTTCTAATTTTATCAATCTGGTATTAATAAAAACAAATAAATGTCAGGACTGGTGGTACATGTGTATAATTCCAGCACTTAGGAGGCTAGAGCAGGAGAATGACTGCTGAATTAAGGCCAGCATGATAGTGAAGAACTGATCTCAAGAAAAGGTGATGAAGTCTATTAAAATAAGATCTGTAAATATGAGGAGCTGTGAACATTTTTATTTGTCTTTTTGAGACAGGGTCTCCCTGTAGCCCCGGCTGGCCTAAACTCCCTATGTAGACCAGGCTGGCCTCAATTTCAGAGACCAGCCTGCCTCTACCTCCTGAGAGTTGGAATTAAAGATATGCACCACCACACCCAGCTGAGCTGTGAACTTTTTATGACTAAATTATATTAGCACATACAAGAGACAACACCCACATTGAGGGTAAAGGTAACTCCAGCTCCAGGGGATCTGATGCCCTCTTCTGGCCTCTGAAGGCATTGCGTGCACATGGTATAATTTATATACATGCAGGCAAAACACTCACACATGAAGTTTATAAAAAGAGACATTTTTGTCAAAATGTAAAATGGAAAGATGTATGTATTCTGCTGTATCCTACTCCTTAGAAGTCATTCAAAAGTTCAGTTCCAAGTGCTGAGACTATGGCTCAGTGGCAGAGTATTTGAACAGCAAGTGAGAGGCCCTGGAGTCAATGCCCAGTACTGGCAGGAATAAAAACTTCAGCTCCCACTCAAGTAAGGGAGATTAGTATGGTGTCTCATGTTTGGAAAGACCAGGAACTTTAAACTTTGAGAGATTAAGCAAATCTTTATAGGAAGGAAAGGTTAGGAATTATTCAAAGGGGCAGTGCTTACTTAGAAAAGTTAATTGTTATAGAAAAGGAGCAATTAGAGCCACTAAATAAACATCAGTATAACTAACTCAGAATGCAGTAGTGAGAATATTGGGAGGTGAGGCTGGAGAATAAGAATGGGAATATCCTGTGGGACACAGCAGATAAGAAATCAGAATTTTATCCCCAAAACAATAGTCATTAAAAGGTTTCAAGCACTAAAATTTTATAATTATATTTTTGCTTTAGAAATGGGGTTTGATCCTCTCTATGGAGGATAGTTTAGATTGGGTCAATGCTGGATTCTAGGAGAGCAGATAATAGACTATTGATGGAATGTGGCAAGGAGCAAGATGAGGAAATAGATCTAGTTGTTGGGGGTGAAGGACAAGTTATGGTTAAGGACAAAGCCCAGGTAAGGGGTAGGAAAACTTGGGGGGTGGGGCCACTAACTGATATGTTGAGATAAGAAGAGTATGTTTAGAAGTCAATGTAAGTTTAATTTTGTACATGTAAGACACTTGATACTCAAGAGAATGTCTCCTCTCTTCTTTTTCTGTCTCAGAAAAATGCAAAAGATGTTCCCCCTATAGGCTCCTACTGAAATAACCAGTTTTTATTAAAGGGAGGTGTGCTGGATAGCGTTTGTTATCAACTTGACACACCTGGATAAAGGGAGCATCAATTGGGGAATTTTCTCCATCGGACTAGCCTGTGGCCATCTCTGTGGGGTATTTTCTTGATTTTTGAGTGATGCAGGAGGGTCCAGCCCACTGTGGGCAGTGCCACCCCTGGGTGGTTTTTTCTGTATAAGAAAGCAGGCTGAGCATGGGCCAGGGTAGTAAGCCAGTAAGCAGTGTTCTTCCATGACTTGTGCTTCAGCTCCTGCCTCTGGGTTCCTGCCCTGAGTGCCTACCTCGGGCTCCCTGATTAACTGAGATCTTGGAGATGTAAGCCAAATAAACCCTTTCCTCTGAAAGTTGCTATTGGTCAGAGTGTTTTGTCACAGTTGAAAGCAAACTAGAACAGGAGGTATGAGGTCCTACAGAAAACTTTAAGAACAGAAACCAGTTTTTCTTTATTCTTTTCTCTGGGTTTTATATATTTGGACCTGTATTATACATGTTCTAATTTCCTGCTACACACACACACACACACACACACACACACACACACACACACACACATATATATATCACATACACAATTCAGTTTTCTTGACTCAACAAACATGTTGGTGTGGTTAGAAATATATTAGCTGCCCACCAACGGTCTCCACTTCAGAGTAGTCGTTCCCTTGTGTAAATTTCCCTTGAGTAGGAGTGGAACTTATTATACACTTCTAAGAAGAGTTGATGCCATGGTATTTCCGAGTTGGGTTACGACAGCTCTGTGGATTCTGTTTTGGGTGTTTCATTTATTTCATACTCCATATTAAATGTTTTGTTATATAGGAAGCCACACATGAAAGCTTTTGTGGCAATGATCTGAGGCCTGTTACAACTACATGAGGGCTTGACAGTAGATCCCTTTCAAGTTCAGGCTCGAGATGATTGCAGACATGACTGACCACTTAATTACCATTATGCAAGAGACAATGAGCCACAATCACCTATCTAAGCTGCTCCCACGCTCTCAATCCCCACAAAGTATCAGACAATAAGTATTTGTCCTTAGCTGAGTGTAGTGGCACATGCCTATAATTCCATCACTCAGAAAGTAAAGGAAGGATGACCGTGAATTTGAGTTCAGTTTGGGCTCCATAGCAAATTCCAGACAGCCTGGCTAAAAGACAAATACTATATCTAAATTAATAAATAAAGTAAATGTATGTCTGCCTAGCCACTAAATTCTGGAGTAATTTGTTGTGCAGCAATAGTTAAGTCACTTGTCTTGGTAACAGAACAATCTTATTGACTTAAGAAGTAGTTGATGGGGTTGGAGAGATGGCTCAGCAGTTAAGAGCACTGGGAGCTCTTCCAGAGAACACACAGTATCCACATGGTGGCTAACAACTTCCCTTAACTCCAGCTCCAAGGGATCCAACACCCTCTTCTGGCCTCATTGGGCATTACGTGCACTTGCATACATGGAGACAAAACACTCATACACGCAAAATAAGAATAAATAATAAACATTTTTTAAAAGAAAGTATTTGGTGTATAGACCAGATGGTTCCAACTGAGATCACAAGCTATTTTATTTATTAAAGAGTTAAAAGAATACATTAACAAAACTTTGACAGAGAAATACCATAACCCTTCTGAAAATGATTATCATCTAACCCACCAGGGATATTAGTACTTCTAGGTTGTTCTACGGCTATGTAGTTCAAAGGTTGACTAGAGTTAGGATATGAACCGTTAGTCTATTCTGGATGGATACAAAACAAATCAATACAGCATTTTAACAAAGAAATTGAAACAAAATTTTGCCATTTGAAGAAAGAGCATTGTGTCATTCCTATCACCAAGGCCTATGGTCAAAAGGGAACAGAAGGTTGTGATGATGATCCAGTGAGTCTGGCTCCAGACCTCCCTTCAGCTTGTCTCTTATGTGACTTTGTAGGGTGAACTTGTAATGATTGAGGGCTGAAGAAAGATTTGACAACTGGAAGATTCTAATATTTAAATATTGGACCTGTGTTTTGTAGTACTTGGAGTTAAATCCAGGAGCTCATACATGGTAAGCCAGTGCTCTGAGATGCGTTCCCTGCCTAACCTGTCCTCTGATTTCAAGCTACGAGTGTCACAGGTTCTCTTGACTTCTTGTGTCTAAAAACCACCCAGGAGTGTTTCACCACCTTGAGGGGTGTGCTACTGCAATCAGTGCGTGAATGGTTGACTGCAGCTTGAGATGGGAAGTACCTCGCAAATACCGTCTTCTCTGGGTTTATAAGACAGGGAACCAATCAGGGAAGAGATGAGAGAAAGACAAAAATGCCGGTCTGGCAGGTAATCATTTGGGGCTTCATGCTATTAGGTGCTTTGGATTCCCATAGGTGAAATAAGTCTCTTCAGTACAGGGAGTTGCAAATCACAGCCCCAAGGCCTGGCTGGTTTTATCAATCTGGCAGTTCAGTGTCAGTGCAAAGGACATCCCCAGTACCTGAGAAAAGAAATGGGAAAGTTCGAGGTCGTCACAAGAGGAATCATTTCTCCCACAATTTCTGAGTTTGTTTCCACAAAAAAATACATCCATCACACAGTCACCACCCTCCCGGCAGCACTCTCTTCTCAGGAGTTCTCTCTTTTGGCTTAAGGAGAGCAGTGAGGAGAGTCTGGGAACAGTGATGCCACACTGGCAAAGTAGAAAGTCTTGGAACATTTTTGTCTTCTTAAAAAGTCCCAGAAGCCTAGATGTGGAGATTGTCAAGTTCTGATTACTTACCAATGCAAAAACAAGTCAGTTCTGCACAAGCCCTATGTCTTCTTGGCTTCAGAGCAGAGAAAAATAATTTGTCTCTGATTCCATCTTATTGATCTATGGATGGTATGTCCAATACTTGTGCACAAAAAGGTTAGGAATATCACATGGCAAAACCCATAAACTTTACCTTTTACTTGTCAAATAAAGTACAAGCACAATGAGAAAAATTATGATAATTTTCACTTTCAACTTTTTCTTAGCACAAAATATCAAGTTTTCCAGTAGAGTATTTCATTTATCACAATTGTTTCTAGACCAGTTGCGGGAGTGATGAATGTGGCATGCTTACTGCTTGGAGCTTATAAACTTTCTTTGACTCGATATATGTTCCTATACCACGTTTTATGGATGCCTTAAGTTAAATTGATAATAGAATCTGCTACTTGGTTAGGGGAACTCATACACCAAAAATATTTAACATTTGCTCTACACTGCTTCACTAATACCGTTTGAAGACTACATGATTTAACTCATTTAATCTTTAATTATCCCAAGACTAAGCTCTTACCTGTATCACACATACACAGATGGTAATGATTCCAATATACAAGAAATTGGAGTGAAACCACTGTTTTGCTTTCATGTGGCAACCCTAGAAAACATTATAGGTATAAATGATACTATCTTATAATTCAATTTTTTCAGGAGGATTATCTAAGATGGTAGTTTGTATTTACATAATACAATGACACGTACATTGGATGTTATATTTTTATTTCCTTGCATGGATAAAGAGACAGGCATAAATGGGCTTTTCTAGGCTGTTGTCACTAGAGTGGCACCTGATGTGGAAGTCTTAGATCCTAACTCACTGAGCTAAACAAACACAAGAAGTAGGTCAGAAATAGAGGTTCCTGTGTTCTTTGAACACTCAGTGCTGATCATAGGTGAGGCAATATTTGAATTCATGTGTGTTTCCTTTTCTGCTTCAACAATGAGTAAATCTACCATAGCCTTGAAAAGCTCCAGAGTTGTTGACTGGTGCATATGTAGGTTTTCTCTATAGACCTAAACTTTTCTGGAGATTTTCAAACTCAGGAGAAAGTAACATGGGGTCTATGATCCATAATCATAGAGATTTGGTTTCCTGAAAGGTGACTGTCTTCTAGGTGAAGAGAGTTCTAACTTAAGCAGGAAAGTGGTTTCTAACTCCCTTCCACAACACCTAACCCCTCCACTTAAGACTTCTTTCACTAAAGGAATGGATCCTGCCATCTCCAGAGAAAGCACTACAGGGACACGCTATTCTACCCTAACCCTATAAATTTTACTTTAAAAGTAAGGAGAATGTTTTTCTCAAGAGCTATCTAGATATATCTCCCTGTTACTTTCACACTCTCCTCGCTTAATAGTGCAATATAACAAAAGATTCTTCACAGTGTCTATAACTAAATTAGCTCGTTCCTAGATTTTTCTGGTTTCTATAGTTACTTGGGGTTGTTTCCCTGTTCATTCTTTTGTTCCCTCTTTCTAGGTAGGAGGTTGAGACCGTTTCTGATAAGGTTTCCCATATAATTAAAAGTTTGAACAACAAACTCAATAACAGGAAAATTACCAACAAAATTACCTGAATGTCTGGATCTTTTGGGCAGGATGCTGGTGGGCCACTGGTCCAATCACTTGTGCTGTTTACACCACAGCAATGTAACTGAAAGTCAACCCCCCAAATACGATTTTTAGAAGGTCAACAGAAAGCCAACTAGACTGTAGAGCAAAGGGTATGCTTATATTGAAATTTGATTCTATGGTAGAAAATTGAGAATTGTTTTTTTATTATGGACTTCTTAAAATTAAGTGCTCTGAAATCTGTTATGCCATTTTATAGACAGAAGGTGTAAGTGCACCCATATCATGCAATGCTCAAAGATATTAGAAGAGGTTGTTGGATTCCCCTGGATGGTTGTTAGCCACCACGTGGGTGCTGGGAAGAGAACCCAGGTTCCAAAGATGGTCTATTTAATTTATTGACATCTTACAGATCAAAAATTATACACTTAGGGGACTTTATAATGGAAAAATATGGCTAACCACATCTAGACCCAGTGATCACTTTTAAGATTGCAGAAAACAGGACAATTAGATACCTGCTTATGTGACACATCAGGAAGTACCAGCTATGATACAATAACTTCATCAAGCCTCATGATTCACAGGACTTCTGGAAAGCATATTTCCTGACACCAAAAATACACTTAGGAATGAACTGGCTAGATCCAGAAAGTGTAAAATCTGTAGGACACATAATCTAGCTTCTATCCACATGCACAAAACATAAAGAAAGGGGATACTGTTGTAGATTGAAAGAAAATTAGAGGTACTATAGAGATGGCTCAATGGTTAAGAGCACTAACTGCTCTTCAAGAGGACCTAGGTTCGAGTCCCAGCACCCACATGGCGGCTAACTACCATCCATAACTCCAGTTCTAGGGGAATTTGACAACCTCTTCTAATCTCTGTGGTCATTTCATGACATGGGTGCACTTACACATATTCAGGCAATGCACTCATACACATAAAAATAAAAATAATAAAATATTTTAATTCAAAATCATCTTTTTTTTTATTTAATAACCACATGATTAGAAGAAGCATTTCATTACAGTTTTAACATATTCAATAACAATTTCCAGAGCAAGGATACATCTCTTTCAAAAGTGGCTGTAAATTTTTAGATTCATAGTTGAATTAATACAGTTATACAATATTGAACTCAGTATAAATCCTATAAGACATAAAATT